ACACACACACACACACACACACACACACACACACACACACACACACACACACAAACCTGCTAATTTAAACCTAAAATTGTGAATTTCTACCTTTAATCCAAAGACTGTATACAAAGATGGACGTAACTATTTTTATGACACTCAGTGGTTATTCAGGTCATGTTGAAGCCTCAGCCCCTTGCTAATTACTAACCGTGGCGGATGGCTTGGAGCCTGGTTCTACAGGAGGTTTCTTCCTGTTAAAAGGGAGTTTTTCCTTCCCACTGTTGCCAAAGTGCTTGCTCATAGCGGGTCATTTGATTATTGTGGGTGTTTCTTGTTTATTTGTTTAACAAAGTTGGGTAGCTTACAGTATAAAGCACCTTGTGAGACAGTTGTTGTGAACTGGTGCTTTAAATAAAACTGAGTGTAACTGAATGTTTGTGATTTGTGGTGTGTTGAACTCATGTGTGATTAGTGAGTGGGTTGGGTGAGTGATTTAAAATTCACGACACTGCACACAGTAGCAGCATGCAAGGTAATTGGTGCTTGAGATCTTAAACCCTTCAGGAAAGTGTTTACTAAGATATCAGGATAGTGCAACTTATGGTGTCGCGCCCTGCTGGTCATGACTTCATTGCTAGCTTTAGGTTTTAGAACTGGAATCTACATCCATCTTTGTATACCGGTGATAATCTTTGATAATCTTACCTGAAATATCAAGCATCTCTGTTTCTGCCATTTCTCTGAGGACCTGCTTCACGCAAAGACACAAGTAATGAGTTAACAACTGTGAGTGTTTTTCCATCTCCTGCATTAAAAGCCTTTGCAGACATCCCTGCCAATCGCTGCCCACGTAACAAAACGCTTTTCCACACCTCTCTTTCGGGAACCTCGAGCATCTCACGCTCTCTCTCCCTTTCAGAATCAGTGGATTCGGGGCCTCGCTCCCCAACTTGCAGGTCCGAGCCCGAGAGGGGTGTGATGGTTGCACTCTGTCTCCATAGAAACTGAACCTCTTCAGGCAAGACTGCAGGGGAAAATAGCTTCGTGGTTTATTTTTGAAAAGGTTACTTGAGTCACACCATTAATAGAGCTGCAGCGGCCGCTGAATATAAGAAGTGAGGGGAATAAATAGAATTCAAGGTTCCACGTGAAGCTTTTACTGCAACAATTTAGAGGAGCCAGCATTAAAAATATTAGCAGTTAGATTATTAGAAGCCTGTAATTAGAAAAGAAAGGAGCTCGCAGCATAGTCCATGGCCATACTAGAAAACCAACAGTGCACAGCTCTACCTGATTTCCATCTAATGAGTAAGGTATAAAGGGGGGTGAGATTTAAACAGATGTTTCTGGGGTGACGAGAGGATGCTTCGCTCTATTTTAAGCAGCTGTGATACTGACAGGTGCAGGGCTTGTTGAAGAGATCAGCAGCAGGAAGGATCCTTTGAAAGGAAAGCGGGGCGAGGAGTGGTCGCCTCGTCTCGGTCAAAGGGTCGTCGATCTGTCGCTGCACATCGTCCTGGGAGAGCTGCGTCACCGGGTCAAAGAAGATCAGCTGCCTCCTTCTCCTCTTCCTCTTCTTCTTCTCTGGTGAAGCCACATCCTGGGGGCGAGGGAAATAGATTGACTAAAGGGGACCAGAGATTTGTAAGTTGTAGCTAATGTCTTGTTTTTATGTTATGGCTTAGTAAAAGAGGGTTAGGGAGATTTTTCAAAAGGGGGTGGGGGTAGCAAGCCTACAAAATATTCCTCCAGTTGGTGTTAATCTTCCACCAGAATGGAAAGCTCTCAGGGAGGCTTCACACTCAGTTTTAAGACATTTCTATACCTATTCAAGACCTAAACAAAGCAAAACAGTAACTTTCCCTTTAAAACTAGAACTGTAATCTCTGAATAACTGATTCCAAAGATTTCAGCTGGTGACTATGGACTCTATATAGTCTCAGCAAAGTATCATACGCAAGCCACTTTATTAAGTACAGCCATTTAACTTCTTATTAACACAAACATCTAATCAAATGGAAGCAACTTTGCATATTTAGAATTGGAAGCATTTATGATTCCAGGTTGGGACTGCCTAAAGACAGCACTCCACTGCTGAAACCTGGGATCTTCAGTCTAAAGCTCTCCCAACTGAGCTATTTCAGCATGTTTGGGTAAGTAGGTACAGATAATGAACAGAAAGACGTGCTGAAGTTCAATCTCAACATCAGAAAGAGGAAGAAGAGAGAGATTTAGGTGTTTTTGCCACAAAACCATCCGTAGGGTTTAAAGTGGGATGGTCAGAAAAGTAGTGATTTAATGTGGAAGATATTTTCTTTGCACGCTTTGGGCCCCTCAGAGCCTGAGCATCGTCTAAACACCGCAGCCTACGTCAGTATTGCTGCTATGTCCATTACTTTACAACCACTGTGTGCCCATCCTGCTTCCAGCAAGATAACAAAGCTGAAATCACCTTTTTTTTTTAAACATGACAATGGGTTTACATCTCAGTCAAACAGAGCACCGTTGGGATGTGGTGAAACAGGAGATTCACATTGTGGATGTGCAGCCATCAAATCTGCAGCAACCGAGTGATGCTATCATGTCAATCTGGACAAACTTGATTCATTATTTATTATCATTGCTAGCTGCACATATAATCTTACATGTTTGACCTTCTTAAATAGTACTGGCAGTAATGAGAGCATCACAGGGTCTACAGATTGGTGTGCGTGGGAGGGGTAAAGATACTTAATGTTCGTCTGTTAGGGCAAAACCGTTTATAGCTCTTTCTGTTTTTGTTAAATACATTAAATATTTCTGTCATTTAAGTAAAACCCACAAAAGCCAGCACCTCCAACTCCAGACTTCTTAGACGCCTTTCACGTTCCTTTGCTGCAGAGGGCGGAGCAGGCAGGCCGGGCACAGAGACGGGGGTGAGCTGGTCTGAGGGGGGCTTCTCTGCGGGCAGGCCTGGCTCTTCCTGAGGCAACAAAATAGCCTCCTCACTGGAAAGAGTAGTGGGCTGCAACCTGACACGTGTAAAAACACACTAAGTGGATCACTGTTTGTCTGTCATGGTATTTTCTGTTTACATAAGTGTCTCTAAGTTACTCTAGAGTGGATCCTGTGAGCTCCTTTGCTCCGTGTTTCTCCAGGTCGCCCTCTCGTTCCTCCCGTTCCACCTCTTTTTCTTGTTCCCCTGCTGCCACCTTTTCTCCCGGTATCTCCAAATCTCCTATTAGAAAAGATTATAGAGTATGTTATGTCCCATTCTACGTTTTTCTTTTCTTGAAAATGCAAAATCACAGAAGCTTTTTGCTACACACCTTCTGGAAAGTGATCTGTTTGTGCCAGCAGGAAGTCAATAGTATCTGGATGGTCATCAACCAGCTCTGCACCCTCAAACTAGCAGTGAAATAAGGCAGATGATGGGTAGAGATATTACACTGAAGATCTGTTTCCTTTTTACTCCCCTACCTCTGTAACGGGGATACCAACAGGCTCCGCCTCTCTCAGAGTGATGGCCTCTGGAGACACGGTTATACCTGCGAAAACAGAGTCGTGAATACACATTAATATAAAAGTCACTATTTCAGCATCAACTCCACAGAGGCCAGAGAGCTATGACTAATCATGTTTAAATTAAAGTGCTCTCCTCTGCTGAGTGAAATTTAGCTGCACAACCCTTCCTGACTCTGAGGCATCACTTTCTGCAAATTAAGTGTTTGAAGGCACTCTGCTCCACTCCGCTTTGACCTGTCGTTTTCTTTCTGCTCCTCGCATCTGGCTGGATTTGCAGTGTGAGCTCATGCAGGGACGTGCGCATGCTGCACATCCCTGAACACATTTCTACAGAAAAATAAGCCATGTGAGCAGATATTATTTGTACAACTAGTGCAGGTGTATCTGCTTAAAGTGCAAAAGCTTCCTGCTTCTATAGGAATTAAGAAGATAAATAAACTTGATTTGATTAACAATATTCGTGCCAAAGATGAAATAAGATGCAATAGTGATTAAAAAAAGCTTTCTGCTCCTTATTTTGGTGTATCTGTATACAGAACTCAATCTGACAGAAATGGTCCTTAAGAAAGACCAACCCTTGGCAACAGCCTATACCTAGGAGGGGTTTTAGGTAAGTAAGTAAGTAAGTAAGTAAGTAAGTAAGGGACCTTGAGAGAGCTGCGCACAAATAAATCCCCACAAACCTTTATGAACTACTTCGTAAAGAAGAGTTGGCCAAAATTCCTCCACAACAACGTGAGGGACTGATAAAGTCACAGGGAAAGTGATTTCTTCAAGCTGTTGCTGCTAAACGTGGTTCAACAAGCTGCTGAATCATGCCGTGTACTTACCTTTGCACTCAATGTTTCTACATTTAGGCTTTTTGTTAAATTAATTATGACAAGATGTAATGTGACACGCGTCGTTCATTTGAGGCTGTATTTAAATGATTTTAAGACCTGCTAAGGTCATTTTTTAGTATGACTTGACACATAAATAAAAAGGAAAGAAAACTAGTACACTTTTTCAATTCGGCGACTTTAACACATCCTACCGTTTTCCAGTGCAGCAGCTGGACTGATCAGTTCAGGATGCTCAGGAGAAGCTTCTCTCAGATACTCACAACTCATCTAAGAATCAATACAGCCAGAGAACTCTTAGTTTATGAACTAATAAGATGATTTGCAGCTCAACTTTCACTTATTAACTGCTACTATTTAGTTGCGACCTGTATTAGTGTACTGGGGCTGGGCATGGCATCCTGCAGCTGCATCACTCCAAATAAAGGGTCAGGAGCTCCGTCTGTCTCCTCCAGCAGAGTCAGGACATCTGGCAGGACCAGAGATGGTCTGGAAAACAACAGGAAGCTCAGTGCCAGGAAACAGCTGTTACTTTGAGATTGAACATGAAGGTAAATATGCTGAGCATAATTTCTCACCTGCTGTGGTCATCCATATCAATTTTCTGTGAGGTTCTCTGTTTGACCAGCTGTCCCACAATGGACTGAAGTTCCTCTGAAAGGACAACAAATGAATCAACATCAGGATCAATTATGTCTCTCCTTCCTTCAGTGTGTAAATGCCTCCTTACCCAGAAGAATAGCACACTGCCGGTGGTAGACCACAACGACACCATACTGAAGCTGGGAGGACAGGTAGAGGGAGAATCGGGGTCGGGGCAGACCTGGACGAGGTGGTGCGACCCGCTCCAGCACGTAGTTTATGATGTCGTCGCTGGATGAGCATTAACTTTATTTTAATATGCAAGCAAGGTAAAAATGTGAGAAAGTGACTCAAATAACTTCTTACCAGGTGCTTCTAACGTTGACTTTCAGGAAATCCCGGCGGGGAACCTTGATGCCTTTCGTAGCTGCCAGCCTGAAATGGGCACAGGGGATTAATGACGACTCATGTTTTATTTTACTGAAGATGAAAATCAAGATTAAAAGCTAAAGAACGAATAAATAATGTATAATCTTTTAAACTGTGACAGAAAAGAACCAAAGACAGTCTGTGGTTGGGAAAAGTTTATGGTACCATTAACACGCGATTCACCTCCCCGTCCACTCGCTGTTGTGCTCCATTTTTAGAGTAAAACTTAGCAAGTATCAGCTAAAAATACCAATAGATTCTCATAGTTTTGACACCCTTTGATAGTCATTGTTGCATTTGGGCATTTTCGTTTTTGTCACATTTCTTGTTTAAAGATATTCAAAATATTTTCAGTCAGTGAAAGGTCTGGTCTGCAGGGAGGCCAGTCCAGCACCTGAACTCTTCTACTATGAAGTCATCCTGCTGGAATAGATGCAGTATGTGGCTTATCATTATCATTGTCTTGCTGAAATATACAAGGATTTCCCAGAAAAAAAAGCCTCGTCTGGATGGGAGCGTATGTTGCTCCATAGGTAGCAATATATGCCATATGGCAGCATTCCCATCAGACATGCAGACTTTTCAACTGAGCACTGATATGAATGGTCCCTCTCCTCTTCAGTCCAGAGGACGCTCCATAGATGTTTTTTAATAATTTGTGGCTGGCACACTGAACTGTGTTGAACTTAAATGTTTCTGAGCCCTGCAGTGATTTGTTTTTGGCAGACTCACATGTTTTTCATGTAGCACCGCCTGATGGCCAGAAGATCACAAGCATCCAGTTTTAATTTCCAGTCCGTTCCCGCCTTGTGCACAGAGATTTCTCCAGATTCTCTGAATCTTTTAAATTTTATATACTGTAGATGATGAATTATTCAAAGACTTTGCAATTTTCATTGAAAAACATTACTCTGAAATCCCAGAAAGTTGATTCTATTCATCTGGACGTAATGTTTTCAGTGGGAGAAATGTTTCATCACTCATCCAAGTGACTTCTTCAAACCTTACGAACATCTTATAATTCTGTGATTGCAGCCATTCTCCAACTCTCTGTGAATGATACTCATAGCTGCTGATTAATGGTCATGCATCAAAATGTTACTCTGAAATTGTTCCACAATTTTGCAGATGCATTTTTTTCCAGATTGATGAATCTGTCTATTTAAGATGCTGTTTTAATGCTCAGCTACGTTACTCTGCTCTGCTGCCAATTAAGTGAGTTGCAAAATGTTCCTCCACCTGTCTCCCCCTCCAGTCCAGCATCTTCCAGATATGTTGCTAACAAAAATTCAAACTGAGCTAATGTTTCACATGATTAAAAATGTCTCAGTCAAAACATCTCATGTGTTTTCTATGTTCTACAGAGAGTAAAATATGAGGGTTTTAAAATTTGAAAATCACTCCATTGTTGTTTTTATTTTCATTTTACACCGCACAGGTCAGTGAATTCTTAAGTGTACTTAGGACAAATGTACAAATGTGTACTTTTTTTTTTAAAAGTACACATTTGTGTATGAAAAATGATTGACACATTAACAATTTACCAGTTTTTTACCCTTTAATAGATGCAGTTTCATTTGCTTTTCAGCTAAAAACTGATCGAAATGACTTTGATTATCATATAATATTTTTTTCACGGTTTTAAAAATGTCTGAAAGTACCTTGAATAAATACAAAGATGGGAATGCCCTCATTTTACGATGTATGTAGCCTTTGATCTCTCAATCTTCAAAGCTAGCGTCTTTCATAAACAAGGCTTCAAATACTTTAAACTTGATGTTTATGTTTGCTTAACCTCAGCTGCACCTGCACCGTGCGATCTTTTTTTTTTTTTTAACACATTTAAATATACATATGGACTCAGAGGCAGAATGTGAGTTTTAGATGCATAAAAATGTTGGTAAAATGTATGTAAAATTGATAAACTCCCCCCAAAACTAACACACAGTGCACCGGTTATTTTCCTTGTGAGGAAGTACATACATTTAATTACGTTAACGGGTCGACAGAAACATGCTTCTGTTAGGCTTTTATAGACTAAAATATTAATATGTTTAACCACTTAAAATGTACTTAAACACCCCGTTTTCTCTGGGTAAAGGAAGACTGGAACATAAAACGTAACCATCAGCGAGTCTGAATGTTTATTTCAGGGGTTTGTGCACATTAGCAACATTTTTTCCCAGATTTAAGTTTATTTATGATTAGAAACTAGTCTAAAATACCCATTTGCCTATTAAACGTAATGATTTTTAAAACATCTTATCAATAATGTTAGCTGACATGAAACGGCTAGCCTACTGCCTAAGCACTGTGGAGTACATCTAGGTGTCGATTTTAACCAGGTTTTTACTCACCAGATGGTAGAAAAGCATCCTGTGTGACGCTTTAAAACTGTGGGATAGTAAAACATTTCAGCAAATTTTTGATAAATCAGTTAATTAGCGGATAAAATCCGATAGATCACAGCTTCCGATCTACATCAGAGCTGATTCTCTCCACTGTGAGATATGAATGTTGTTTGTTTATTCTTCTGAGACAGGTGGTTGGTCAGTGCTGCTGTGAGAAATGACAACACTTGTATGATTTGCTGGTCACTCTGAGCGCTTGAAGTAACATTTAAAGAGAAATAGGCACACAAATGTTAAAGCTCGATTAAATAAAATATCAATACACTATTAAAAACGAACAAAAGGTCATAATACAGTTATTTTATTGTGAAGGGTTTGTTTCAATTCAGGACCTTTGGTGAGTTTCACAGAGAGGACATTTTATTGAGATGTAGAGGAACAATAAAATCAAGGCAGTAGTAATAAAATGTAAAATCTTGAATTAAAAAACAAAACAAAACACACAACTCAAACCCCTCCAAAAAAAGAGCAAATAAAAACTCGGGGTACATTGTTGAGAGGGTTCCTTAGTTTTACTACAGGTAATGGAGGTCCCCGTGGATCACAGCAGTCTTCCTCGGCACTCGGTGGAGCCGCAGCAGCAGAGCAGGACCTTACCCTCCACGCTGCCCACCTCGTAGTTATAGTCCCAGGTCAGCTCTGTGCCGGCCCGGATCCTCCTGCACGACGACACAAACGGTGATGTCAAGAACAAAACGTTAAGATGTTGTTAGGTACATATTCATTAACGCAAATGTCTAATCAGCCAATCACATGGCAGCAACTCAATTCATTTAGGCTTGTAGATACAGTTGAGACAACATGCTGATGTTCAGACTGAGCATGGCACGGTTCTTGTTGACAGCTGTGTTGGCTTGAGTGTTTCAGAAACTGCTGATCTTCTGAATCATCAGATATTGATCTATTAGAGAAACTGTGTGATGCTATCATGTCAATATGGACCAGAATCTCTGAGGAATGTCTCCAGCATCTCGTTGTCATGAAGAATTAAAGCTGTTTGTAAGGTAAAAGGGCAGAGCAACCTGCCCTTTTACCTTACAAAGGGCAAAGGGGAGCAAGGTGAAGTGGCCAGATGAGTCTTCATTGTACGTTCTAGCCTTGAAACTAATAGTGAGAGTGGTCGACTGCTTGTTACAGAGCTCCCAGTCTAATGCCTCTCTCTTTCCCTGCACACACTGAGCCACAAGTGCTGTTTAGGCAGGTGGCATAAATCCAGTCCATTGCTGATAGGAACACCTTTCCGCAACTGTAAAACTATTCCTGTATGATCCGATGGCAGGCCTAACAATGACACAGCAGCGCCACCCTAAGGTTGCATTCACACAGAAAACAACACAGCATCTGTTTTTCCACTCAAAACTCCACCCTGTTTAACAGAAAGCAAACATTCAACGTAGTGCAGTCTCAGTGTTAGACATGATTAAATAATATAATTAATAAAAAAAACTCATCAAGATAGTTTTGGATGATGGCCTCTCGCCCTGTAAGAGAGAAATCCCCTAAAATAAAACGGCACATATGTTGAACTTTACTCAACTTTAAACACACCTTCCTGTCAGTTTATTTGTAAGGGTAAAGACAAGAATTCTACTGTTTTTCAGGCATGTTCAAGTACAGAAAATCTTGGATAATCTTTTCCTCTGTTTCAAAACTCACTTGCTGGCAAAGAAGGCAACCCAGGGAAACCTCAAGTCATGCGTGTCTACAAACACATTCTGGACGAAAAGGTTCGGACTGCAGCTGTGCTGTAACACAAACAGAGAGCAGAGGTGACGACGTCAGAGGAAAGTAATCAGAGCGGCGCTCAAGTAACATAAAACGATCACACAGCAGCAGATTCATACGTTGAGATAACGTCCGAGGTTTCCTTCCAACTTGGCATCAATGATGTAACAGGACTCTTCCCCATCAAAGAACTGGCGGGTGTTTTTAGTGGGAGTGTTGTCTCCGCCTCCTCCCGTCTGCCCCTGCTGTCCTCCTTTACCTCCTCCCGGCCCTCCACCTCCAGGCACGCCTGTTTTTACCATCATCCCGTGGCTGTTTTTCAGGGCGATGCCACGAGTAGATTTCACAGCCACCTGCTTTTTAGTCACACCTGATCCAGATGTAAGAAGAGAGAAAACCAGTGGAAAGTTACGATAAGTGTGATGACAAACAAAAGCAATTCAAGCTAAGATAAATCTTTACTGTCATTGTACAGATCAGAGTGCTACATCTAATAATGCGTTAAGACCAGTTAAAACAATGAAACCGACAACCGACTCTTTACCTGGCGTTGCTTTCTCTTTGTCCTTGTTGTCATCGGATCCTGAGCTGATGGTCTGAACATCGTCACTGTCAGACAAAGTCATCACATCCTGCTTCTTCACCACTTCAGGCTTCACTGGACTGCAAGAGATAAAAAAATGAAAGTCATCTCAACAGAAATGATTTCCAGCAAAATGAGCTCAAGCACAAACGTGTGGAAGCAAACACGGTCTAAACACCAGTGTAAGCATGTTAGTGTGAAATCCAAACAAACCTCTTGTTATCTCCAGGTTCCTACGAAAAAAATAGAAAAGGAAGGGTAATTAATAATCACGCAACATGTTCATGAAGAAAAAGAGCCACTCAGAGCCATTCAGCCTTTTACTGTACTAAGATGAAAGTAGGATTACAGCTTTATTTCTGTGTATTCTGTATATTTCCAACATTACGTTGTCTTTAATAACCTTTTTAAGCCCCTGGCTCGTTAGCCAGGAAGCCACTTTGCTTTTTCCCGTCTCCTCTGGCATAGATGGTGGCTTGTCATCATCTGTTCCTCTGGCTGAGATGCTCATTCCATCTTTACTATCTTGACTCCCTGAGGCAGAGGAGGAGAGAGACACGTGTAAAAATACAACACAGAAATCTTTCTGACAGAATTAATGAGGAAACACTGCAGGAAGTGAGGCCGAAAAGCTTAAATGTGTTTCATACAATCCGTACAAAGGTCGTCCCTAACTCCCACTGTGTGGGACACTTCCCACTTAACCAAAACTACACTCACATACACTGTAATGCCAAAAGTATTCAAACAGTCATCCAAATCTTTGAAGTAAGGTGCACCAATCACTTTCATGACCACAGATGTGTAAAATCAAACACCTAGGCATGCAGACTGCTTCTCAGAATATTTGTGGGTCGCTCTCCTGAGCTCACTGAATTCCAGCGTGGTACCGTGATAAGATGATACCTTTACAAGTCCGCTCATGAAATTTTCTCACAACTAAATATTCCACAGTCGCTTGTTAGTGGATTTATAGCAAACCGGAAGTGATTGGGAATGACAGCAACACAGAGCGGGGTCAGCGAATGCTGAAGTTCTTAGTCCGCAGAGGTCCGCAACTTTCTCCATAGTCAGTCACTACAGACCTCCAAACTTCATGTGGCCTTCAGGTTCGCTCAAGAACAGTTCATAGAGAGCTTTATGGACGGGTTTCCATGGCCCGAGCAGCCGCATTAAAGCCTTACGTCATATTAAACAACATTAAAATATTAAATCCTATAGATTAGGTATTGGACGTCCCTCAAGCTCATGTGTGCGGCAGAAGAGTGAATACTTTTGCCAGTATAGTGTATGCATTATAAGAATAACATAAGAAAACACTGTTGATTACTCCATCTCTAAGAAAAAAAAAGACCCAAAACATAAAAAGCATTTAGTCACTGACAAATCTTCATAACGAAGCACACATACACAAACTCCTCATCTATCTAATGTGAACTGTCCTTTGTGTGAAACCCGTTACACTACAAATATGCAGCTGGCTCACCTTCCTTGTTGCCTTTGACCTGCCCACGTGTGGTGTAACTCCTCCACACCGAGCTGGAGCTGTAGTAGCTGTCCTTCACAAACGTGTCATCTGAACTGTCGCTTTCATCTTCACTCTTAGACTCTTTGTCCTCATCCTCATTGCTGTCGCCTGACGAGCTCGAGCTTTGGGCTGTAAGAAAAAAAGAAATGTGAGAAATTATATGGAGAATAAGAAGCTCAACACCGCTTTGATCTCTCGTGTTTGGATTTAGACTTACTCTTCTTAGCTGGTCGCCCCACAGGGCTAGCTGACACTAAAGCAGAGGGCTGGATTTTTATCCTGGATACGTCCACGCCGCTTCCCTCGCTGTCTGAACAGTGAGCCTCGCTCTCATAGCCCTCCTTAAAGTTCTCCACACTCTCTATGTGGTCCAGGTTAGCAAAATACTCATCACCCATCTCAAGACCTTCTTTGTCAGCAAAGTCATCTGTCAGGATTTTACCTGGTGAAACGGCAGGAAAATAATAAGTCCTCTTGCAAGAAAGTCATCACCTGAATTTAAAGTACGCTTCCTCACCAGCATAAATGCACACAAATGAGCCTTTAGCTACATCATCCAGACATCTGATTCCCCAGCCTTTGTTCTGGGTCTTGAAGAGTTGGAGACGGACCTGCAGGCCGTGCTGCACCAGCCGGTTGGTGCACATCTGAGCGTTACATTTGCATCTTTTATTACACTCATAGATCCTGAGAGAGAGAACGGGTAACAAGAAGAAAGAAGAGATAAGTGCCTCTGAAGAAAGACGGCCCAATAAACGCAACAGTAATTATGGTCTCGTGAGGTACTAAGGGGAATGAGGGTTCAGTATTGTTGTTCAGTGTCTCACCCTGTGGGCAGGCACTCCTCCAATCGTTTGTACGAATATCCTGCGTTTGGGTTGATCTGTCCCCCCGGTGTACAACCTGTAGCCTGAAGGGTCAGCTGGTGGCAGGAGCATTTGGATCTGTAATTATGTGATAACAGGTATTAAAACTCAAAGACACATCCTCAGAGCTCTAGAAGTGGGGAAAAATATGAAAAAGAGAAAGAAAGAAAAAGCTGCTTCACTAACTTGTCCTGACAGCCGTCGGTGCAATCGCAGCCGACAAGGAAGTCTGCACTGGTGTTGATAAACACGCCATCTTCAGGAATACGCTCTTTACCTTAAAGAGAGGACAACATGATCTATTAGCCTGTCATTACAAAGTAACTCTGCATTAATGTGGTGTCGGAGTCATTTTTAAAAATGTACAGTACTCTTCACATTAAGTCTTAGCATGAGCTGCTGAGTTGTTGACTTCAAAAGAAAATCACAGTCGAAAAAGTGAACATCACATCATATAATATCACAAGAAATCAT